AAAAACTAAAAGAAAGTGTTATGTGGGAAGGGATGAATGTTTAGAAGAAAAGAAAGTATATGAACGAGGCTTTCTATTTTCTAAATAGGATGAATTTCCTTAACTACTTAGGCTAATCTTCTAACTTCCTTGACTTCTAACTTCCAATTGTAACCTTATTTATTCAATGAATCTTCTAATATGTCCAATTGGCTTCAAGATGCTTTTTCTATACAATATGCCACCTAGGATGAACTTTGACTTTGTTCTTTTTATTCTTTTGACTTATCCACTTCTAGGCTCCATCATATCTTCTTCTTTTAATTCTAAACATGTTGGAAAGACATAATAAAGCTCAAGTTATGAAAGTTTAAGTGAGGTTAGTTCAAAGATAAAGTTAAGAAAACTCTATATTAGTTTAGTCCTTAAGAACTCAAAACACACCAAATAAAATTTCATTCTTAAAACGTCATTTTTTAAAACATTTTTACTAAAACTAAGAGTTTTAGAAGAAAATACCAAAAAGAATCTAAAAAAGGAAAATAAAGAAGATAAAATTCCCAAAAGAAGTTCTCTAAAACACTAAAAATGTGTTTAATTGGTCACTTAACACAAATCTTAACGAGCTTTAGAGGTGTTCAAACTGAAGAAAGAATGGAAAATAATGTGTTCACAGTGTTGGAGGAGAAAAACCACAACGATACGGGATGCAATAGGACACTCATAAGCAAGTAAAAATTTCACAAAATTTATTCTATTAAGAAAAATATAAGATACAATTTTTTGTAAAACCTTAGCCTATACTGTGATAGTCAAAGTATAGGTTTCGATTCATTGAAGAACCATAGCGTGTATTCTAGTTTCCAAAGCATAAGCTACGATTTTATTTGAACAATAACTTACATTTTGATGTGAAAATGTTACCACGTTTTCATAAGCTATATTTTTTCTTAAAATGATAGCATATTATACGTAGTAAAATGTGATTTTTTTTCATTAGTGAAAGTTTACATATTTACATATCTTATTTATTATGGATACTTCTGTACATGGGATGGAACATCTAAGTCCTCGTTCTTTTATTTATATGTTATTTATTGTTAAAAAATATATTATAGAATTGGTATTATAAAGGGAGACAAGACAATTCCGTACTCCCTGCTAGAATAAGAAGCACCACAGAAATTGGACAAATGTGTACACATCTTAATAGTGCCATCATGTTTTGCTTCAACTTTTTCTTTCCTGATTTTTTATTTATCTTTTTTTTGCCGATGAGATGAGCATTTGTAGGCCACTAATTTTCATGGAAATGGTGTGCACTGTGTTTAGCTAAACCTTAACACCCCCCGTGCCTCACAAGGACATAACCCATATAAAAGAGGTCAATAATGTACTCGATCTTTTATTTCATGCTATAGCTATTGCTCTCCAAGCTTTTGGGTTATTCTTTTTCAACTACGCAAAATGATGACCATTTAGATTCAACGTTTTACGCAATTCTATATCTTTTTTTTAGCTTCTCTTCATATTCTTAAATCAAACTTCATTTGTATATATATATATAACAATTGTTTATGATGAGTTCACTTTTCAATAGGATTCATTTATCCTCATAACTATTAGAGTGCCACCTTGAAATAAATCTAGTTACTTGTCGTTTGGTTATAGCTCTTTGAAGCTTTCGCAATAGAGTGGAAGGAATAATCAAAATTCTTACCTAACTCTTCGGATTATTCTAATTTATTCTCTCATATATTTTAATCCATATCCTGCAGCATAATGGACCAGAGCTTGCAAGTACTAAATTAATGCTTTTTTACTCATGATTCTTTTTCTTGGTAATTTCTCTCTATGTCCATGATTTTATTAGAGTTAAAAAGTAAATTTTAAGTTTAATTCAAACTCACAAAATCGGCTTATAAGATAAAGTTTGTATCTCATATATTATAAATTGACTTTATCTTTAATTGATGTGAAACTTCCAACATATCCCTTCACGTCGAAGAGCATGAGGCTAGACACTAATGGGTGGTCCAACAATAGCTTAATAGCGACTGAAACCATACGTCCACACATATCTCGTTAGGATAGATTCTAATATGTTCTGATAGCATATTAAAAAGTTTAAAAAATAATTTTGATGTATTGTTTCAGATATTAAAGTACCATATATATATATATATATATGGGTCATATGATTCTTTATTTATTAAAAAAATGACATCTATACAAATTATAATAATATCTAAATTATAGCTAATAGAATATTTGACGTATCTTAACGATTTGCATCCAACAAACAGTGTTTTTTGTGGTGCACCTAAATAGATTCTTCGATATTATTTTTTTCTTCTCCAAATAGAAGGAACAAAATTTCTTAGCTAACCATGAAATCCAACCCTAACTAGAAGAAACAGTGTATGATCAGATTCGGTTTTTGGTTTTGAATTCTTAAAAGTGGTGCCACCCAGATAGAAAACTGCCCCTTAATTTACATATATAATGGCAAAGCACTATGACATGCCCTTTACAAGGAATTTATAAAGTACAACGGACTTACAAGGATCTTCCACATAAATTCCAACACATACTACTACTACTACCCTTTCACAGATGGTTTATTTCGAATGTTCTTTAATTGTACTTCACCACTATCTGACTTTTTGTTTTTCTTTTCCTCGTACCAACCATCTTGTACTTCTCCCTTATCAGATTAGTATAGAATGAAGGGAAACGTTCAATAGTGCGGAATCGCCTAATATGTTTATATATGTAAAATGCAGTAATATAACCATTTCTATCCAAGAAAATTAAGAACATTTAAAGCATAAAACAATGACATTTGCCTTTGCAAGTTGCAGCCAAGCCTCTTATATTTGCCTAAACTTTTTCTCGATCTAATCTTTTGGGCATATTTTATTTTCTTTGGAAAGATGATTATTTGACACATCTAAATTTTTTACATTCATTTAATACTATTTTACTTTTTACTTTCTTCTTTCTTAAAAAAATACAAAATTTTACATTTTTTAAACCATTTTATTCTTGAATTTTGTGTCAAATGAACGTAAAAGTGTGTTATGATATCTCTTTATCGTATCATGATACCATTTTTCTTCTCTTTATCGTATATCATGCATGTGGGCCATAATACAGAGACAGATTAGCAAAATAACTAAAACTGTTATCACGAACAATGTTTATTATATTCATTTTGCAAATGTTAAAAAGTGGCTTCCACTTTTTGCTGCCTTGAACGAGATAGGATTAATAAGGTATTTTAGGCAACTACAGAGAAGCATAAAAAGTTATGAAGTACTATTTTAGAGAAGAAAATAGATATGGCAGCCTCTGATACGTTGTGATCACAAACAATGTGTTGAGTGAACATGAAGCGATGAAGACCTTCTTCAAATGTGATGGTTTCTACAGTGTTTTTGAGACATCTGTAATCTCATAAACTGCTTCTATAATCTCATGCACATAGTGCTATTCAGTTCCCATCCAATCAATTTGGAGAAAACATAACGTAAAGGATCAAAATTCAAAAGTGAGATAGAAAAGAAAAAGCATACTGAACACAAGTCATTTGATTATTTCAGTAATGGATTCCAAAAGCTATGACCCTTATTATTTATAGTTTATCATTTTGATTAGAACTGCACCAAGGTAAACAAACACTTAAGGAACTTAATTTAAAATCACATTAGCATAACATTATAATAATAACCCCGATAAACTGGTAAACAGAACATCAAAGTTTGTAATCAGGTTCACACTCAGTATTCGTAATTTTATTTTCTTTCATGTGGCTAATAGAACGGTTCACATGATTTAGTATTAAGATACGTAAAATATTCTTTGAGTTATAATTTAGACGTTATTATAATTTGTACAGATTTTATTCATTTAATAAACGAAGAATTTATATGTATATATATAGTACACTGATATATGAAATAATACATTAAAATTATTCTTTAAACTCTTTTATATGGTATCAAAGTCTTGTTATAACATATTTTAATCATATTTGTTATTTGTTAGACATATTGTTTTATTTGCTATCGGATCGTTATTGAATCGTCCATTGATGTCTAGTCTCACACTCGAAATTTATATATCTTAGTGTGAGAAGGATGTGTTGGAAGTTTCACATCGACGAAAGATAAGATCAATTTACAGTATATAAATAGGTATAAACCTCACTTTACAAACCGATTTTATGGGATTGAGTTAGACTTAAAGTTCAATCCTTAATCTTTAGTGCTTAATCTTTAGTGATAGCTCGGAAAAAACAATAGTTTGCATCATAGTCCATCTAATTTATATATTTTAGTAGCTCGTGAGTCATCATAATTATAATAAATAATGACCATCAAATATCTTTCAAACTATCCTATATTGCGTCATGCGTGAAAAGAAATTATTGGGTGTAAGAGTTTACGGGTTTCAATAATATTGCTTCAAAATTGGATAGAGACCTCAAGAAAAGCTCTCTTGAAATTGATTTATGCATTGTTGTAATGTGCTAAAAGGATTTTTAAATGGGCAATCACATTACATGATGCGTCTGCAACATTTGCATTATGATGATGACCACTACAAACACATCAAACAGTAATTATAAACAGGGTTTTATGAAAGAGTTCAACGGACCGTAATAAATTATTGACGTTTTTATGATCCTAATTGCAATTTCATCACTTCACAAGGAATCGAGACTGCAACCATGGCCAGAAATGCAATTTAATAACTTGAATGCAGATTATATTTGCCCAATGTTTCAATTCTTAAATTTCCATTAAAAATGAGTAAAGTGAACATATAAAGAGCCATAGATAACATATAGATTAGATAGAAGTAACATTATTACACATAGCCACATACATATAACCCAAAAACTTTATGACATGGATTCTGGACAGCCACTTATATGATAAAAAGTGGTCTTACCCTGAATGTATATCTCATACCACATGCATACATTAGGAGCACTTCCCAATTATTGTTGAATTTCTGCTCATGTAAGCTCTCTTCCAAAACTGACCCCACTTTTCTGGCCATCATCTTCTATAAATTCACCCCATTTCCAACACAACCTTCCCCAGTTCTAATATCATCTCAGTCTCTCAATACACCTCACAACCACACCCATAAGGAATAATCTTGAAAATTAGTTCCAAACTTCCAACCATGGTTCCTAGTGAGGTAAGAGGAGTCCACTATCTAGCACCTGAAAATCCATTCCTAGTTCCACCCAACTTTGGCCTTGTGCAAAGTGACATTCCAAACCTTCATATGAACACCCTCTTAAGCAATTTTCCAAACTGCCACTTCCCTCATTCAGGCCTTGAATTTCTTGCTCCTCCCTCCTCTTACCTCAGCAGCAACTCAACCTCTGATGAAGCTGATGAAATCCACTTCAACATCATCGACGAAAGGAAACACAGGAGAATGATTTCCAACCGAGAATCCGCCCGCAGATCAAGGATGAGGAAGCAAAAGCACTTGGATGAACTCTGGTCGCAGGTTGTTCGGCTCAGAACTGAGAACCACAACTTGATTGACAAACTCAACCATATGTCCGAGTCCCATGACAGAGTCCTCCAAGAGAACACACGCCTCAAAGAAGAAGCTTCTGATCTCCGCCAAATGCTAGCAGACATGCAAATTGGAACCTCCTTTGCTTGCGCCATGGAAGAATTGGAGGACCTTCCATGCAACAAACCTGATCCCTCAAACCAATCGATCACTCCTGCAGATATGATTCACGAATGAGGCTATTCTCCACTGTTTACACACAAGCCTATTGCTCACTCTATATATCTGCCTTCTTTTTACTTTAGATTTCTATGATCTTTGGCTCTCCATCGGAGATCTATGAGTTTAGCAGCATATCTTATGTATCAATTATCAAATAATTAACAGCTTTACATGTTCTTATCTTTGAATCATTACAATACCATGCGAATTATATTTACGTCCATAGTACAAAACAAATTACAGTTTATCATCTATCATATCGCCGCGTCCTTATCTTCATGTCGATGAAGCAGTGTACCTAGCCAGAATATCATATTGTCAATTCTCTGTACCCATCATATAAACTAACAAAACAAAATGGTTCCAACATCATTTTCACACTAAACCAAAACCCCGTAACGAAAAAAGGAACAGTTATCACAGAAAAAGCTACTGGGAATAAAAAAGAATTGATCTTTGCGTTTAGAACTAGCTGCACAGGTAGCTATATAGAGTTTTATGTTTTGTAGAGGCAACGGGGGGTAAGAAGGTACGCACGTGCAAAAGTAAAACAAGGTATCATAAATCTGAAAGAACACCGAAAAGGGTGTCAGTTGTTGTACAGAGTGTAACAGGGTCAATACGACAAACGGTGGTGGAGGTGCTGGTGGTAGTGGATCATCACAAACAATGCTACCACAAGAAGCAAAACATGTAATCAAAAAGGGTATCCACTAAAAACAAAGAAAACAACTATTCTGAGGGTTTTATTGCATCTTTAATTCTTGTGTCACGAACGTGGATTTTATAACCAAGAGGGTTTCAGATGTTGCTTCGAACAGTACTTGTAACAAAGCGACAAGGAAGTTCATACATCATCAAGGTTCAGCAGCATGTCTATCTACAAAATTGTGAAATTTTGTCTTTCCTTTTGCAGGAGTGTGATCTGAACACTGAACAGCACATGAAGACAGGTTCTGCTTAAGGTTGGGGATTTGCTCGTATCTTAGAAATTTTGGAAAATTAAAGCAGACATGGGATAAACTTTGATGGATTGAGGGAGGCGTGTGGCAGCTTCATGATTGTATTATTGACAAGAGAATCTTGATAGCATTATGTGCAGATCGTGCAGCTTTTGACAATCGTCAAATCAGGTCACGTTGTTGTTAAAATGCTTGCCAAATTTTGGAGAAAGGTCAAAGGCCAAAACCTTATTATGAAAGTTGTGATGGTTTGTTGAACTCAGTTATTCATGGTTATATTATATACTATATAAGAGGTGTGCTTAATTTGATCTAAAAATTGTTAATTTCGTTAATAATCATATCATGCACACTTTTATATTAATTTTATACATAATATAAGAATAAAATAATTATAAAAATATCAATTTTATATTTTTTCAAAAAAAAAAGAATAAAAAATAAATAAAAATAATGTCAAATAAATATAAAAAAAAAATTAGATGTATCATAAAATTATATGATATATTAACAATTTTTTTAAAAAGAAATTTGACAACAAATTATGTGTCATTATTTTATTGATCGGTATATTTGAAACAGACCTATCACAATTAGGGATGACAACGGGTCGGGTATGGATAGTGTCTATACGACCCGACAAAAAAAAATTCACCCGCTATCCGCATGAATATCTGTTTGAAAAATATCCTCATATATTTTAAAACTCATGTCTGTGTATACTCTGCGAATAAATTATTGTAAAAATTTTGTTAAAAAAACATTTTCTTTTTCTATTTTCATCTGTATATCAATCAAAGGTTGTTTTGATTATTAAATTTCGCTTACGCTCTCTTCTCTATTATAGGCTTAGAAGATAAATTTTCTTTCTACAGCACTCATGAGCACTAAAACTATAGAGTTCGATGGAAATCAATACAAGCAAATATATGATCCACCGGAATATGATGGTGTGCTAGGAAATTTGGGTTCTTTGTGTGAACCTTAAATGTATATTTTATCATTCAGTTATGTCTCAGTTCAGATTTTACCCAATATTATTTTATTTGCACTTTTATCATCAAACTTCCTTAAATTTAAACCTTATGTTGTGATATTAAATACTCACTGCACTTTAAATACTCTACCAGATAATAGATGCAAATAAGCAATTAAATTAAAAACACAACTTTATAAATATTCAAACAATGCGTGAAATTATGTGTTTTGTTGGGAAGTTATCTATGTAATTTAGAATTTATCATAAATTTAATGTAAGGAGAAAATATAAGCTAAAATTTGTCAATAAATTTTGACGTAAATTTACATAAGTTAGTATATGGTCCAACATAAATTTTAAATATTTATTTAGATAAATTCAGTTGAGTTGGTTTTGCCTTATAACCAAAACTTAAAATTAAAAAAAAAGAAAGAAACACCAATTTTAATTTACTTACTATATAAGGAAATCAATTTGGAAGCAAATTACCTAAAAAAGATCTACTTTAACCTAAAATATAGTTATTCAATAAAATTAAACTAATTACTATTTATGTTGGAAAAGAAAGGTTGTTCTTATTTGTAGGATGTCTTCTTTAGACAATGGATATTTGATCATTAAGCATCTTAAACATTATTTTATTATGCAATAGTCATAAAAGTAATTTTGAACTTTAACAAATATTTAAATGTGTTTGTTACCTTTATTAGGATTCAATAATATCTATTTAAATGATGACTTCCATGAGATAATAGTCACATTGGAATACATAAGCTTTTCTATTCCATTAAAATGAGAAACAAGTGAAAAAAATTAGTTCCATGCAACTTTAAAATAAAATCATTAATATTGTATGTATTAGAAGCTGTCTATCATAAGGTACATAAATTGTTATGACCTTGTTTTGCTCCTTTTACTTAAAATGTTTATTTCAAAGGTATAGTTGATTTCAATGTTGATTTGACACTTATATATTTTATAATTATATATAAAATCTATGTTAATCATTATATTTTTATTATTTTTCAGGAACAAAAGAAATTAAAGAGTCAAAGTTGAAATTTGAAGAAGAAAAGAAAATTCAAGAACTTTTCAAGCTATCTGATACAACACAATTGTAGCGCTAAACGAGAGCTTGAGCCACAAAGAAAAAACTCAACATGAAAGGTTTCCTCAAGCCCCAAGCTAAGGCTTAAGCCATGGAAAATTCTTCATCATAAAGTAATCTCAAGAAGGCTCCAGCTCAGGAAGATTGATAAGTCAAGGAAGATTCGTCACAAAGATGTTAATCTTTGATAAGAATCACAGTTTTAAAATTAAGAACCAAAAGAATCATCTCTCAAAAATGCAAAATGCATATATTATGACTCAAAAGTGTCTATATATGTATTTGGTGTCCCTATATATAGGTACAAATGCTTAAGACACCTAAGAAACCCTAAAAGAAAGCCCAAAGACATTGGGTTCAAAAATAACTTGAAACATAGAAACAAATTGTTTGCAATTAAAATAAAAAATATAATTTATTTAATTTTTGTAATTATTCTTCAATTATGTTTATGATCTTCATGTTCTATAAATTTCTCTCTTCATGGTAGATTATAAGATTCAAGATTTAAGGAGACTTGTTTTGATCTTTGACGTTGTCATAAATCCTTTGAATTGCAAATGTTCTTCTTCAAGTTCTTCTCATATATATTTCAGAAGATAGTCCTCTATCACTTTTGTTGTATTTATTAGAATATCTTTAGAGGATTAGGAGATGAAGTTTCCTCCCTTATATTACTTCCTTTTATCATTCATGAAGAGCTAAATCTCCTATATGTTGGAGTGAGATGTAACAACTTTGAACTCTTTTGTATTCGATACTATCTTTCATTCATTGATGTTTGTTTTTTATATGAACTTTGTTAATTAATTTATCTCATGTTGGATGAACTGATCACTCGTCTTACTTCATTAGTTTACTTCACTAGCTTAAGATTCAGTGAGAATTAGTATTAAGTTGTGGTCCAATCAATTATCACGTGGGCTTCTAGATGTTAGAAATGGATCTAGGATTGTAGCTAGAGATAGAGTCTTATTCTTAATGCAGGTGATCCGTTCAAGTAGCCATTGAGGAATCATACTAAAGGGTGGTGATCATAGGCTTTAGGTGTTAGGAATGGACCTAGAGTTACACTTAAAGCGAACTCCTAGGACTTGATCATTTATAACTTTAATTATGTTAATAGATTTGATGCAAGAGACGAAAAAGTTGTGAAGTCGAACTCCAACATAATTCAATCATCCAAAAGTCACTCATCTAGTAATCCAAACTGTTTCTCAACATATTTTACAACATTTTCATACAATAAAATATGTTTTCAACACACTATAAACACAATTTCTGTTTTATAAAGATTAAGATAGTTAAAACATTTTATTTTCTACCAAGTCCTTGTGGATACGACACTTATTATGCTACAAAAACCCAATATACTTGTTGGTATATTTCGAGTTGTACACTACAAAATAAACAAGTTTTTGGCATTATTGTTGGGGATTTACGTTAAGAAAATCTTTGTTTAAACTAGATTGATCATTGTATAAAGTTGTATTTAAGTATAGATAAGCTAACCAATACATTTATTTTTGTGTTATTGTTTTTAAGTTATTATTACAATGATTGTGTACTCTATTTTGCATAAGTTTTTGTGCTTCAATGTTGCTTGCCATTGTTTAAGTTGTTTTGTATGCAAATGAGAGGACAAAAACAATTTTTATTGTTTGATCTAGAGGTTGAACTCACAATCACAAAACAGAATAGTAAGAACAAAAAATATAGACAAATTTTGACTTCACTACTGCAGTTGCAAATTAAAGTAGTAGAAACAAACTTGATTTGGAAGCAAATTATCTTAATCAAATGACTACAAAAGGAGTTGAGATGAAGCCAATATTACTTTATCTAAAAACAACAAATCAATTTTGACCAAGAAGATCATGTTAATCACTTCGCCACAATCTAAGTACATTAGTGTGGCTTAAAAAGTGTTCTAACCATGAATTTAATGAAGTAGTACAACTCAAAATGTTACATAGTAGACTTAGACTGCAAACAAGAATGTTGTTGGATGCTTTAGCAAGAAGGAACTATGATGATGAAGAGTGTTGAGGAGACATCCACAATCATTGAATCACTAACAACTAGTGATCATCAAACACAATATGAAATAAATCAGCCTTCCAAGAGAGAAATATTGGAGCT